TGGTGTCTTATGAGTACATTACTTACTAAGTAAGTTCCAGCTAGTAAGTTCCCTGCAATTTTTCCCTTGAATTCTTCATCAATTTTAGTTTGCAGTTCTCCCCCGTAGCATCCTACTTATTTTGTAAGCTCATCCTGTATGTGTACTTCTTCATGCATGGCCACACTTGAATGCTTGGCCCAACCGTTACACGCACCTGGAAGCTGTGTAATGAACATACGTCTCATTCAGGTAAGAGATTACAGGATGATTGATGTGTGTAAGTATAGGGACATGACATACATGTCATGCCAGCACTCCAATTTCACCACACCTCCTGTGGCCATTGTGGTCGGTGCCCTTGCAAGGGGGGTGTGGTGCCCTCAAAAGTTCCACCTTGCCCACGGCCCAAACTGGTCATACATGTGTCCCAGTGGTGCCCTTGTTTCTCATACGTTACTTACTTCGCATTCATGTGAAGGTATTTCGTGTTGCGGTTTAACATTATACGATTGTCTCCATGCCACATGGGTGCACATATAGCCTAGCCAGCCAAGCTGGCCGACCTGGTACAATGCGCTGCAGCACCGTACAGCGTGAAGAGGCTTGGTGCGCATTGTAAGGCCAATGCCTCATAAATCTGATGCCTAAAAAGTCTGGATTTTTGGACTTACAAAGCATTTGACTAATAAGACATTGCATCTGTAGACTGATATAAACTGATAAAGTATTGTCAGACTTTTGAGGCGTCAGACTTATGGACTTTTTAACAGATTTGTTGGACTTGTGAGTCGTTGGACCTGTGAGGCGTCGGACTTAAAACTGACCCCATGAGGCTTGCCTGTACCGCAATTGGCTTCAATTTACAATACGTAATGTACGTGTATTCCAATCTGCAGCCCAACGTTCGTGGATGATTAATCGCTGCAGGTGCCAAGCACATAGGGGCATATTGTGCAACAACTCGGCTGGCACATGCATACACGGGCTTAGGCTATGTCCGAAGCAGGCCTCCACAGCTACAGCTAAGTCGTTTGTCCCTTTAGTTGCGGATTGTGTATGCACGCACGCACGCAGCAAATTCAACTACATGTGTCTAACTGATTATTCTGTGACGTGATGGATTGGTCAACTGTACGCCACAAGGGGATGTTGTTGGTAAGCTCATGCTGTGCAGTCCAAAAAGATTTGTCAAATTGAAACAAACCCTGTTCTCTTTGTTAAATGTATGGTTC